GCGTCTTGTCTTGCATGCACCTAGCATAAAGACCATATCGTCATTCTCAAAAGCATACCACCCTAGTTAGCTACATCACACTATTTTATAACTATCTAAAATAGTTAACTATTTTGCAGAACATAGTTATCAATTTAAAAGAATAGTTAACTATTTTTCATAGCATAGCTGGCTACTCTAGCGATTTCATAACATCGTTGACTACATGAAAATGTATTGTAATAGGCACTTATTTAAACAACATAGTTAACTATGTTCATAACATATTACCTATTATAGTTTCCATAATAAGAAAAATAATAACATATATAGTTAACTATTACCAGAAATATAGTTATCTATTATTTTTTGCATAATGAAAAAGAATAGCATGCATAGTTAACTATTATGATAAATATAAATACCTATATTTTTGCACCTATCTTTGAGTAATTTACTAAACTGAGTTGAGAAGGATTTTCTTCTCCTCTGAATTTTTTTCTAGAAATTTCATTAAAGCTCGGAAGTATTTGAGAAGTGTGAATCAAAGATGAGATTGATGCGAAATCGATAAGGGTTTTTCACCAAACGAAGATATGCAAAAAAGATGCGAAATCGGAAAGGATTAAAAGAAGAGAAGGTGGAGATTAGAGGAAACATGCATGAATGAGATGTATGACCGATGAAGAAAGTAAGAAAAAATAGAAGAGATGTGATAAATCGATAAAGGATTAGAAAAATATTAAAAAGAGATGCACTGGAAATAGATTTTATCATATGTGAGAGAGATGAAGTCGGCGGTGAAGGAGGAGTTTTGGAGATTAGGGTAAAAACGTTTTTGTTTTAATTTATTTATTTTATATAAAAGTCTGTAGTTGGCTAAATCCGTAATTTTGGATGGGTCAAATGCTATTTACTATATTATGTTTTATATGATGTTAGATAGTAAATTATAGATAAAAATGCTAATATAGAGCTAATTTCCCTTAATTTAATTGATGTGTTCCTTCAAATCTTCATTAAGTGATATATAAGAGTTTTTTTACTTAGTGTCTCCTCAATTAATATATAGATGATTTTAATTATGTTAACGTTATCTAGGTTGATGGTGTAAAATACAAACACATTGGTATACCGAGCTAATTGTTTTATTGTTCGTGTATTTTTCTAAAACCCTACAAAATTGTGTACTTTTGGAAACAACTAAATATTTGGTGACATTTTAGAAAATATTTTCCAAAGTTTGACAGGTATTTCGATCGTTTCAAGTTATCATCAATCCATTTATTATATTGAAAATTATTTGGGGCATTTATCATTTTATAAAAAAAAAATCGGAGAATCACACAAATTAAAATCATACTTGCAAAACACACCAAATCCAAATTCTGACCAAGTCATGAAAGTGATGATGGGCCGAAGATTATCGAGTTCAATATCAAAACCTCGTGTTCTCACAAAAACTCAAAGTCAAGCCTTTTATTTTGGAAAGAC